CCCCCCCCCCCCCCCAGCTACACTCCCAGGGACCCCTTGTATCCCAACACTCGCCCTCTCCCCCCACACCCCATGGGGCCCAACCCTCACCAAAAACGTGGAAGCCCAGCACGCAGGTGTACGATGCCCACTCCCGGTCGCGGCTCTCAAAGCGATTCCTCAACAGCTTGCAGCCGCCAGCCACATCCCCTGCAAACGGGGGAGAGATACACGGGGTTAGGGTCCCGCTGCAGCGACAGGCACTGCCATATGAGGGCACAGCTCCCAGCTACAGGTACCCAGGGGACGACACACACACTTGTCCCAGGGCACCAGAGCCACCTCCACCCATGACGGAGGTTTATGGACGGGCCCACGCACAACGAGGGCAACTCATACCCAGGCCCCAGGGTGACGGGCTTCTGAGCAGCCCCCTTCCCGGCACTCACAGTAGAGGATCTCGTAGTCTCCAGAGTTGGACATGATGAACTTGCTGTCCTTGGACCAGTCCAGGTGGGTGATGAAGCTGGAGTGTCCCTGGGGGGAAGGGGAGGAACAGGGGCATCAAAGCCAGTTACTCAAGGACCCCCCCAGCCCAGCCTCAGGCACCTCCTGAGGGGGTACAATCCAGGGGCCTGTACACCCCCCTGGCTCCCAGGACCTGCCCCGCATCTCCCAGAGACCCTCTCCCAGAGACCCTCTCCCCTTCCCCTCCTCCACCTTTGGTTCAGTGACCCCCTCCACCATCCCAGTAGTCCCATCCCCGCCAGCCTCCTCCTGGCAGCCCTCTCTCCTTGCCCCCCCCTCACCGTGCAGCGGCCGAAGCGGCTGTACTTGCGCTCCCCCTCCCCCACGCTGTAGATGTAGATGAAGTTGTCGTGAGAGCCGATGGCTAGGAACTCACCGTCTGCAAGGGGGAGAAAAGAGGGGTGGGAAGGGGCCACGTGGGGGGCAGCTGCAAAAGGGGGGCGGAGGAGGGGGTGGAAACAGAGCCATGGGGGAGGGGGGAGAATGGGAGGAACTTGCTGTCTCTGCAATGTGGGGAAGATGGGATGGGAATGGGACCATGGAGTGCTGGGGGCCAGAGCTGCAGTGGGGGAGGAACCTGGTGGGAATGGGGCCTGTGGGGGGGGGGGGGGGGGGGGGGGGGAGGCATGGGGCAGGGGTGTGTGGGGGTCTGACCTGGTGAATAGCGCACCACCGAGAGCTGCTCGTTCCCGTCCGAGCCCCCCGACAGCACCTGCCGTGTCTCTGTGTCCAGCACCAGCCACCTGGGGGGGCACAGGAGGGGGTCAGAGCTCCCGCAGCGCCGGAAATGCAGAGACAGATAGAGGACCCCACCCCAGGGAGCAGGGGCAACAGAGGGTGGGGTTCCAACCCTGGGGGCAAACTCAGTGACCCCTTAACCCCAGGGGGCCAGACTCAGGGAGCAGGGGGCAGAGCCCCAAATCTCAGGGTGCTGCTTGCAGGGCCACCAGTAGCTCCTCAACCCCTTTGGGTGCGACTCTGGTGGGGCGGAAAGGGCTCTCCCAGCATCCCCTGAGAGGCCAGAATGGGGCAATGTGTGGGTGGGGAGAGAGTTACCGTCCAGTGTTGAGTCCTACAGCCACCACCCGGCCACTGGGGTGGAAATCAGCGCAGAGCCCAGTCTCCTGGGGGGAGAGACACCCTGTAAGGACCTTGACCCTCCTCCCACCCACCTACCCCACCCCACCCCACCTCCTCAGGCAGTACCTCCAGAGGAGGCTCCAGCCCACTGCGTCCCCCACATGCCTCCTGGGGCGGTATCTCCAGGGGGAGGCTCCATCCCACTGCGTCCCCCCATACCCCAGGGGTGGTACCTCCACGGTGAGGCTCCAGCCCATTGCGTCCCCCATCCCCCCAGGGTGGTACCTCCAGGGTGAGGCTCCAAGCCGCCGTGTGCTCCCCGCTGTCCCACATGCAGACCTGCCTGTCGTGCCCGCAGGTGAGGAAGAGGCTCTGCGAGGGGTGGGTGGCCAAGCCCCACAGCTCGTCTGTGTGACCCTGCAACCAAGGAGAGCCTGAGGGGGACAGGCAGGGGCCTAGCTCACCCCTTTGTATGCTGCTCCCTATGACCTCGATCCCATCTGCCCCCCAGCCCCCAACCCCATTTGTCCCCCTTGCCATTCCACAGGGCCCTCTGCTTTCCCAAGCAGCCCCCACCCTGCTGTACCCCCAAAGCCCACCCCAAACCCCGCTCTTTCCCAAGCCCTCCTACAGCCCCTCAGTCTCTGTATCCCCCAGGCCCTCCAGCTCCCCGCTCACCTGGATGATGGGGGTGAAGCCAGCAGCAAGGCTGCCCCTGAGCAGCGCATTGCGTGTAGTCCCAACCAGCAGCTCGGCCCCGGGGCCCTCGACGATGGTGCGCACAGCCCCAAACTGCTCCGGGATCTGGGGGGCACAAGGGGCTGACTGAGCAGGGGTGGAGACAGCAGGAGCCACAGATCCCCCCACATGCTCACTGCAGATCCTTATCCCCACCCATGACTCCTACAGACCCCTCCGGCAGATTCCCCTATGCCTCCTCCCACCCACAGCCTCCTGCTGCACCCCACACATGCACCCTGCAGATCCTGAGCTCCCACCCATGACTTCTGTAGTTTCCCCAACCATGCCCCCCCACAGATCCCCAGCTCCTGCAGCCCACTCACCGCCAAACACCCC